TGGCTGTGAGAGTGCCACTGCACTCCAGCCTGGGTGTCAGAGTGAGACACCGACTGGGAAAAAAAAAAATCGGCACACTCCTTGAGGTGGAAGAAGAGGTGTCATAAGAGTCCTGTTTGGTTCAGTCTCTGTCGTCAACCAGCCCTGGGGTCTCAACAACTACACTGAGTGAGAGAGTGTAAACCGAAGGCCTCTAAGCTTCCTTTTGGCTTGGTGTTTGCAACCTTTGCACAGAACACTGAGATGCTCTGTTACTCCACTGGCAAGCTGTTGGGGGAGGGGGCTTTGTCCTAGAGCCCCATCTCCCTTGCATTTCACCAGCTTGTACTTGGCCTTGGGAAGTCCAAAGATGGAGCGGCCACGAAGCTTCTAACTGGCCCCTAGGCCGACCTGTGAGGTGTGCAGTTTAGACCAGATCTGGTCCCAGCTCACTCAGCTACTGCACGTGGGTACACACTTCCCCATCTGGCTCCCTGCAGGAGCTCAGGTGTGGGGGTAGTGGCAGGGGAGGAGAACTGAAAGTTCTGAGATTTCTGTCTGTGGAGATTACAGATTAGAGGAAGTGGGAGGAATCTTGGATTTGCTCCTCCGGGTCAGGAGACCTAGTTTCAGGCCAGGTTCTGTCCCTATCTCTTCTGTGACCTTGCATAAATGTCTTAACCTCTCCAGGTCTCAGTTTTCTCACTGGTACAATGACGGAATGGGACTGAAGGACCCCAAAGGGCCTGTCCTAGAGACCTAAGATTCCCTTGGGGGTGGCAGGTACTTGTCCCTCTTGGGGAAGGTGTCATTCTTCTGCTCAGAACTGGCAGCATCAGCCAAAGCTAGTAGGTGACTGGTTTTGTGTGAGTCACCCAGGCCTTTTTTTTTTTTTGAGTTGTAGTCTCACTGTTGCCCAGGCTGGAGTGCAGTGGCATGCTTACAGTCAGCACAGCCTTGACCTGCTCTGCTCAGGTGTTCCTTCTGCCTCAGGCTTTCAAGTAGCTGGAATTACAGGCATGCACCACCACACTCAGCTAATTTTTTGATTTATTTATTTATTTATTTTTGAGTTGAAGTGACAGTCTGTCGCCCAGGCTAGAGTGCAGTGGCACATTCACGGCCACCGCAGCCTCGACCTGCTGGGCTCAGGTGATCCTTCCGCCTCAACCTTCCAAGTAGCTGGAACTACAGGCATGCACCACCATACCTGGCTAATTTTTTGATTTATTGTAGAGACGCGGTCTCGCCAAGTTGCCCGGGCTGGTCTCGAACCCGTGAGCTCAGGCAAACCTCTCACTGTGGCCTTCCAAAGAGCTGGTAATTATAGGCGCGGGCCACTGCACCCGGCTTTTTGGATTTATTGGAGAGTCGAGGTCTCACCAAGTTGCCCAGACCAGTCTGGAACCTGTGGGTTTAGGGCAATCCTTCTGCCTCTGCCTCCCTAAGTGCTGGGATTACAGGTGTAAGCCACTGCGCCGGCCAGCCTTCTTTTCTTATTCTGGAATAAAGTGAGGATGGAGGGCTGGAGAGGGTGAAGCTGCTTCCTTCTCCAGCAAGGCTGACTTTTAGTCGGGTACTCAAATTCTGGCTCTACTTGTTTTTTTCTCCAGAGGCAGAGGCGCTTCCTCTTCTCCCCCGTTTTGCTCCTCAGTTCTTTTCTTTCTTTTTTTTGAGTCAGAGCCTCATTTTGTCGCCCAGGCTGGAGGGCAGTGGTATGCTCAAGGCCACCGCAGCCTCGTCCTGCTGGGCTCAGGTCATTCTACCTCAGCCTTCTAAGTAGCTGAACAGCTGGGTGTGGTAGCTCCCGCCTATAATCTCAGCACTTTGGGAGGTGGAGACAAGAGGATTGCCCGTGCTCAGGGGTTCAAGACCAGCCTGGGCAACTTGGCGAGACCTGGTCTCTATTATAAAATAAACAAAAAAACTTGGCTGGGGGTGGTGGTGCATGTCTGTGGTTCCAGTTACTTGGAAGGCTGAGGTGGAAGGATCACCTGAGCCCAGCAAGTACAGGCTGTGGTGGCTATGAGCGCACCACTGCCCTCCAGCCTGGATGACAGAGTGAGACTCCAACTAAAAAAATAAATACATAAATAAAAATTTTAAAAAGTTCTAACAAACATCTCACAAACCTTGACCCAGTAGTACTTTAATACCAGCACCATCATTCTGAAACTTTTCTTCTTCTTTTTTTGAGTTGGAGTCTCACTCTGTCGCCCAGACTGGAGTGCAGTGGCCGTTCCCGGCCACCACTGCAGCCTCAACCTGCTGGGCTCTGGCGATCCTTCCCCTTTAGCCTTCCAAGTAGCTGGAACTACAGAAGTGCGCTACCACTCCTGGTTTATTTTTTGATTTATTGTAGAGAGGAGGTCTCACCATGTTGCCCAGCCTGATCTGGAATCTGTGGGCTCCAGCAATCCTCTCGCCTCCGCCTCCCAAAGTGCTGGGATTATAGGTGTAAGCCACTGTGCTGGGCAGTCTTCTTTTCTTATTCTGGAACAAAGTGAGGATGGAGGGCTGAAGCCGCTTCCTTCTCCAGTAAGCCTGACTTTTAGCCTAGTTCTCAAATTTTGGCTCCACTTCTTGTTTTTCTCTCCAGAGGCTGAGGCGCTTCCTCTTTTTCTCCATTTTACTCCTCAGTCCCCTTCCTCCATTCCCTCCGGCTCCCGGTAGGACCTTGGGAGGAACTGTATTTTTTTTTGAATTGGAGTGTCACTCTGTCACCCAGACTGGAGTGCAGTGGCCGCTCCCGGCCACCGCAGCCTCAACCTGCTGGGCTCTGGCGATCCCTCCGCTCAGCCTTCCAAGTAGCTGGAACTACAGGCATGTGCTACCACGCCTGGCTAGTTTTTTATTTATTGTAGAGATGAGGTCTCGCCAAGTTGCCCAGGCGGGTCTCAAACCCACGGGCTCAGGCAATCCACTCACCTTGGCCTCCCAAAGCGCAGGATTAACAAGTTGAGCCACCGAGCCCGGCTAGGAACTGTATTTAATACTGAAAAACTTGTCTATGGCTCATGGGGAGACCCAGTTTCATGAAAGGGATTTTACTTATGAAATGCTAAGAGAGAAAAGCAGAAGCCAGGTGCGGTGGCTCCTGCCTGTAATACCTGTACTTTGGGAGGCTGAGGTGGGAGGATGGCTTGATGCCAGGAGTTCAAGAGCAGCCTTGGCAACATAGCAAGATGCTATCTCTATTAAAAAAAAAAAAGGAAAGGAAAGAGAAAAAGGGGAATAAACAGGGCACAGAATAAAGCTGCGTACTGACACAATTGGGCAAGTACTAGAAACATGATTTAGGAGACAGTGTGGGTCATATGGTAAGTTTGATTCCTGACTGTGAGAACCTGGGTAAGTCATTAAGCTTTTTGAGTTGTTGGAGTTCAAGAAAAACCCTAACAATACCCTAAAGTATGGCACACTGGCATGCAGCTTGCTTGAACTAAAGATTGGAAGGTTCCAGAACAGCCTCAGAAGCTGACTTTCTCCTGTCCTGTCTCCATCTTCTTGCCCTCCAGAAGCAAGTCACTGAGGCCAGAATTCTTCCCTAAATTGAGTAAGAGAAACTATAATCCCTCTCCCAAAGTCAGCCATAAAACTTAGAAAAATCCTCCCTACTCCTTTGAAGACCCTCGTTCCAGAGGAGTCCTGCCCCATATCTGGAAGGGAGAAATACTGCACAGAAGACAAGAAAGAGAACCCAGGCCTATTTTTTTTTTTCAGTTGGAGTCTCACTCTGTCACCCAGGCTAGAGTGCAGTGGCACGCTCCTAGCCACCGCAGCCTCGACCTGCTGGGCTCAGGTGATCCTTCAGTCTTAGCCTTCCAAGTAGCTGGAACTACAAGCACACGCCACCACATCTGGCTAATTTTTAAATTTATTGTAGAGATGAGGACTCACCAGGTTGCCCAGGTTGGTTTCGAACCTGTGGGCTCAGGCAATCCTCTCACAACAGCTTCCCAAAGTGCTGGGATGATAGGTGTGAGCCACTGTGCCTGGCCCTCCCCCCAGGTCTGTTAACATTAGTTTTATACCTTTGTCTAAACATGTTTCTACATGGCTGTCCATTCTTCATCGAACCTAAGCATAAACATAGACAGCTTTTCCTGGGTCTTTGACTCTTCATTTCTGAAGGCGTAAATAAATGTGTTATGCTTTTCCTTTGTTGATCTGTCTTTTGTTATAGGAGTGTCTGCAGTGACCCTTATGATGGTTGAGGAAAGATATCACACATTTTTGCCCCTATAGAATATTACTTTTTAATCTGTAAAATGATACTAACAATAACAAACAGTACTTTATAGGAAAAAATGTGAAGCTTGGCTGGGTGTAATGTCAACACTTTGGGAGGCTGAGGCAGGAGGGCTGTTTGAGCCCAGGAGTTCAAGGCCAGCCTGGGCAACAAAGTGAGACCTCGTCTTTACAAAGAAAATAAAAAAATAAGCTGGGCATGGGGTGCTTACCTGTAGTTCCAGTTGTTCAGGAGACTAAGTGGAAAGATTGCCTGAGCCCAGGAGTTTGAGGCCGCAGTGAGCCATGATCGTACCACTGCATTCCAGTTTGAGAAACAGAGTGAGACCCTGGCTTAAAAAAAAAAGAAAAAGAAAAAGAAAAAAATGTGAAGTTTAAAAGATACTTTTTTTTTTAAAGTTAGAGATTGGGGTCCCACTTTGTTGTTCAGGCTAGTCTTGAACACTGACCTCAAGTGATCCTCCTGCCTCAGCCTCCCAAAGTGAAGATATTTTATATATAAATATAAAATTCCTAACATTGACTTATTCAATTAGCAGGGTCTTTCTTTTTTGACTTTTCCTTCCCTTTTGCTGCAAGTTCTTCCTCTCTCCCTCCCTCTCCCTCCCTCTCCACTACTTCTCTCCC